GTGAGCAGGTAGGGGTCCCTGCTCTGAGTCCCGGTCCTGCTTCTCCCGGGAAGCCTGACTGCAGGGGTTCTGTTCAGCAGGCTTCCACCAGACTCTCGAGAAAGCAGTTTATTCCAGAATTAACAGAAACTACCTAGGAAGTGTGAGGCTGCGTGCTTGCAGTGAGTTCCCATCGGGCTCCAAATCGTCACCTTCCCGAGAAAAACGGAGCTGAGCAAAAACGGGGGTGGGGATGGGGGGCCACAGAGGAGCCCAGGCTGGTGCCCCCCCCAGGGAGACCTGGCCTGACCCAGACCCTGCTGGGTGGGACCTCATCGTCCACTGGGCGGTTGGCGGATACGGATTGGAATCCCGTAAGCAGCAGGACAGATGTTTTGTGGGAAATTGTACCCACTCGACTGGCAGACGGCCAGCTACCTCACCTGCAGGCAGAGCCAGAGAGGGAGCCTCGTGTTGGCACAAAGGCCGCTCTCTTTCAGTTTGACCCTTTGCAGTAGTTCTTGACATCAGGCCTGTGTGAGTTATGAAGCAAATAATAAAACGGACAACCACGGACTCACAACACAACAGGTAGCTGGAACATTGTCACGGCTTTTGTGTCACTCCCGCGCCCCGTGTTCCGGCCTGCCCGAAATAAACTGCATCCTGGATCTTGAGGTCGTCACCCCCTTGATAAAACAGTGCTTCATCCGTATGTATAGGTCCCTAAGAGTACCCCGTTCCGTGTTGTTTGAGCCGTGGGAAATGCCGTTCTGGCCTGGCCGTCGGGGACTCGCGCCTGCACCCGCCGTCACCCACAGCCCCATGGCCGCTGTCGTGCGCGCGCCTGGCTGCGTGCGCGTGTTTTCTCCGGCCGTGGTGTGTGATCGTGTGACTGTGCTGCGGGTCATTTGCCGATCCTCGCTCGTCACCAGGCATTTGGCCTGTGTTCCTTGCTTTTTTCCTAGCCTGCTGTCACTGAGCCCAGAGCTGCCGTGAACATGCTCATAAATACCTCTCGACTGCAGACCCCGACCTGGGATGCCAGGGCCTGGTTTCCAAAGTAATGACAGCATCTCTTCACAGCGGCGTCCCGGCTGCCTTCCCAGAGGCAGGGGGAGGGGGCTCCAGGTGACCCGGCTTCTCCAGCTGTGCTGTGGGCTCGGGTTTCTGAGCAGGCGGGTGTGAAGCGGCTTCCCCCGGGCTGTCACTGAGGAGGCGTGTTGGCCGGTCCTGCTGATGCTCGCTTTGCCTTCCCCTCCCTGGGGGGGGGGCGTCACCCCTACCTGTCTGTCTTCTCCTGCCTGACGCACTGGGGTTCCCCATGTACGCTGGGAACTAATGCCTCATGGGTTCTTGGTCTCAGCTCTCTGCTCACAGTTCACAGCTGGTGTTTCCACTGTATTTACACCAACTCCTGATAAATAGAGGTTACTTTCAGTATAGCCAGGTGTGTCCATTTCTTCCTGGTAGCGTCTGTGGCTTTAGGATCTGGTTCCCAAACGTGTGTGTGTCCCAAGCAGCGTCAGTGCGCGTTACACCAGGACACTTTGTGGACGTGAACAAGAAAATTCACCACATTTCTGAAGGACCAGGGAGCCAGGCGAGTCAGGGTAGTATTGAGGAAGTTGGGGGTTTGTCCCCCAGAGCAGTGTTCACGGTGGAGATGTGGCAAGTAAGGCTGTGAGAGCGTCAAGGAAAGATGGACGCAGCGGAGGGACTGTAAACGGGCCTTAGTGTATGCAGAAAACTGAGTGTCGCAGAGGGCGCTTTGGAGATCGGCGGGGGAGAAGGTGGATTGTTCAAAACTATGAACGTGTTACCCAGATGGACGCCTGAACTGCACACCAGTCTCGGGTGGACCAAAGGCTCGTGTATGAGGCCAAATCTGTAAACACCTAGAAAGTAAATCAGAATACTTTTGTGGCCTCAGAATGAGGACTGGAAATGTCCGTCTTTTAAAAAAGCTGAATTTGACGACATTAAAGACTTCTGTTCGTTAAACACTGTAATAATGTGAAAAGGCAGCTCAACACTTGTTTTAACTACTTATTATTATTAATTATTGTTCAGAATAGAAGAACAGTTGCCATTTGAAATAGAAGGCAGCGCAATAGAAGTATGTACCAAAGTACCGTTAGGCATTTCCATAAAAGGAGACGAGTAACGACCATACGAAGAGATTCTCAGGCTCACGACTGCAGAAGAAACGCACACATCACGACGACGTCCGTCCCCTGTGGCGGAGCCTGGCAGGAAGGCCGCCCGCAGGGGGACTGACCGACGGCCCCCTGCAGGTGTGACCCCTTGGAAACAGCCTGGCGCGCCGGGTAACCCGCTGGAAGTGCCCTCCGGGGCAGACCAGAGCGCCACTTGCCTGTGCCCTGGGGGATGCGCGCAAGAATGTTCTCTGAGGCAGAAGCCTGGAAATGGCTTGAAGTGTTGGTCAGGAGGAGAAGACGGGCAAGGACTCGGCTCTGCGGGGCCGGGGCAGCGACGCGTCCTCACGGGCCGCCCGTTTCTGCAGCGTCAGTGGTTCCCCAGCACCGCACTTGGGGCCACATGGGGTGGGCGTTTTGTGTTCCAGCCGAGGGCGGGCCTGCTGGGGTGGGTTTGGCAGCCGGTCGCAGCGTCTGGCTGCACACTCACTCTGTGTTCTGTTGCTTAAAGAGGCCCCTGCATTTTATCATCTGTGTTGCATGGAACCTGCATCTGCTGCAGAATTCAGGGTGCTGCTGTGGGGGAGGCGGGGCCCATGGAGCCGGGGGCATCAGGAGTGTTCTGAGTCGTGAGTCCCCTGGGAGATCACGGGCTGCAGGTAGTTTCTGCTTCACAAGCAAGCGTAGATACGTGTGCACAGGAG